ATTGTTGGCTTTTTTCATGTGGATTAATTTGAGTTCTTTATAGATCCTACTTATGAAGATTTTGTCTGATTCAAAATATGCAAATACCCTTTCCCATTGTGTAGGTTGCCTATTTGCTTTGGCTGTTATCTCCTTAGCTGTACAGAAGCTTTTTGGTTACATTAAGTCCAATTTGTTTATTTTTGTTGTTGTCGCAACTGCTGTGAAAGTCTTCTTCATAAAGTCTTTCCCGAGGTCAGTATCACCAAGTGCTTTTTCTATGCTTTCTTTGAGGATTTTTATCATTTCATACCTTAAATTTAGATCTTTTATCCATCTCGAATCAATTTTTGTGAGTGGAGAAAGGTGCGGGTCCAGTTTCCATCTTTTACATATGGATATCAAGTTTTCCCAGCACCATTTATTGAATAGGAATTTTTCCCCTAGTGTATGCTCTTGTTTGGTTTATCAAAGATTAGGTGGCTATAAGATGTTAGTTTCATTTTCTGGTTTTCTATTTGATTCTAAATGTCTATGTCTCTATTTTTGTACCAATACCATGCTGTTTTGATCACTAAGCTTTATAGTACAGCCTAAAGTCTGGTATGCTGATGCCCCTGGCTTTGTTTTTATTACTAGGAATTGCCTTAGCTATACGGGTTGTTTTTTTGTTTTTTGTTTTTTTTTTTTTCTGTTTCTGTACAAGACGAAGAATTTTTTTTTCCAGGTCTTAAAAGTGCAATGTTGTATTTTAATAAGGATAGCACTGAATGTGTAGATTGCTTTGAGAAGTATAGACATTTTAACAATGTTGATTCTTCCCAGCCATGAGCATGGTATGTTCTTCCATTTGTTAATATCCTGTGCTATTTCTTAGGGTTTCATAATTTTCTTTACAGAGGTACTTCATGTCTTTTGTTAGGTATATTCCTAGGTATTTTATTTTCTTTGAAGCGATGGTGAAGAGAGTTGTGTCTTTAATTAGCCTATCATCTTGGCTGTTATTGGTATATACAAAGGCTACTGACTTATGGACCCTGATTTTACATCCTGGTTATCTATTTTATTTATTTTTTCAGAAAACTAACTCCTTGTTTCATTAATTTTCTGAATGACTCTTTTGTTTTCAATTTCATTAATCTCTGATTTAATTTTGGATATTTCTTTTCTTCTGCTGGATTTAGGCTTAGATTGTTCTTAGTTTTCCAGTTCTGTAAGATGCCTTGTGAGTTTGTTGATGTGCTATCTCTCTGTTTTTCAGATGTAGGCATGTAAAGCTATAAAGTTTCCTCTCAGGACTGCTTTTGCTATATTCCACAGGTTTTGGTAGCTTGCATCTTCATTGTTGTTATGCTCAGGGAAGTTAATGATTTCCTCTTTTATCTCTTCCTATACTGTCATTCAGCATAAGGTTGTTTAATTTTTATGCCTTTGTGTGGGATTGATTGAACATTTTTGTTGGAGTTGAGTTCCCCCTTTAATGCCTTGTGGGCTGAGAAGATACAAGGTAAAATTTTAATTCTTTTGATTCAGTTGAGATTTGTTTTGTGTACTAGGATATGATCAATTTTGGAGAATGTTCCATGGGCCAATGAGAAGAATGTATATTCTTTAGCTTTGGGATGGAGTGTTCCATGTATGTCTGTCAAGCACAGTTGTTCTAGGGTCACAATTAAGTCCCTTGTATCTTTGTTTAGTTTCTCTTTACAGGATCTGTAAAGAGGAGTCTTAAAGTCTCCTGCTATTATGGTGTTATGGGATATCATATTGCTCAGACTAAGTAAAGTCTATTTCAGAATCTGGAGCATTTATGTTGCGTGTATAAATATTAAAAATTGAGATGTCATCTTGTTGTATTTTTCCCTTGACCAATATGAAGTGTCCATCTTTGTCTTTTTTTTACTGTAGTTGCTTAAAATTCTCTTGTATCTGAAAATAAAATTGCATCCCCTCTTTTCTTGTGAATTCTGTTTGCCTGAAAAATTGTCTTCCACCCCTTAACTCTGAGTTTTAATTTGTCCCTTGAGGCTGGGTGTGTTTCCTGAAGACAGAAAAGGGATGGCTTGTGTTTTTTAATCTAATCAGCCAGTCTATGTCTCTTCAGTGGGGAATTCAAGCCATTAACATTTATTGAGAGAATTCATAAGTGTGGTAGCATTCTCTTCATCTTATTTTGTGAAACTCCATTGCTTAGTTTTATCTTTTGTATCATTGTGGAAGCTAAGTTTTGTCCTTTAGTTTCTGAGTGCTTACTTTGCTAGCGGTCCATTGTGATGGTCAGTGTGTAAAACAGTTCAAAGTATTTCCTGTGTAGTGTTATCCAACTTTTTGATTCTAGGCATCCTGTCGTGTATAAAGTATTCTGTAGTATCTCTCTGTGGTTTTCACTTATGTCAAATGGCGAAAAATTGTTTATGTGCCTATTGGCTATTTGAATATCTTCTTTGGAAAAATAGCTCTATAGTGCTTTTGACCACTTCTGTTATTTAATTGGGTTGCTTTTTTATTATTCAATTGTAAGTTTTCTTATCACATATTCAAGATGATAGCCTTAATTAGAAATACATGATATGCAAAAACATTCTTCTATGTTTGAATTGTATTTTCACTTTCATTGTAGTATCCTTCAAATTACAAAAGTTTTAAGTTTTGATGCAGCTTATTTATGTTATAATTTGTTCACATTTTTGTGTCATATCTAAGACTTCATTATAAAATCCAAAATTTTGAATATATACTCCTTTGTTTTCTTCTAAGAGTTTTGTACTTTTATCCATTTAATTCATGATGTTTTTATTTTTATAAGTTTCCAATTTCATTCTTTTGAATACTGCTATCCCATTGTTCATTTCCAGTGGCTAACCATTTATTGAAGTCATTATTCTTTCCCTCATTGAATAGCTCTTATTGTCAAAAATACTGTTTTCCACAGAGACGTGGATTATTTCTGGACTCTCTGGTTCTCAGTTATAGACCTGTTTCCCAACTTAATTATCTGTGGTGATCCCCTGATTATTTCCTCAACATCAGGCCCTGCTAGGTTATCTCAAAGCTCTCCAGAATCCTTCCGAGGCAGGTCTCACCTTGCCCCTAGACAACAGTTTCCGTGGGGTGCAAGAGTTCCTGAGTGGAGGTCCAATCCCAGCGGGCAGAGCAAAGAAAGTTGTGTCCCTATACAAGGCCTGCCCTTAGGACCTTCTCTCGAACTGCCCACAGTGGCCATCTCTTGGCTGCTAAGACTTTCCAAGTATGACCTTCTCTGCCACCACCAAACTGGTGGCAAATCTGCTCAGATCAGCCCTCACAACTGGCTGCTGTATACTGTATACTGTTTATATGCTCCCCCTCGTCCAGGTTTTTCTCTCAAAGGACTTCCTCCCATACCGGACCTCCACGGAGGAGCTGGTCAATCCCACTCATAGAAAACTGGCCTATTGTCACAACTCTGCTGCTCTGGATCATGTACTGTATCCAGCCCCTTGCCACCTTGCTGCACACACAAGCCACAGCTCCAGGCAAGGACTCCTCACCAGACATAACGTGGCTTTCTTCCATTCCTCAGTTGCACTAGGAGCATTTGGCCAAATGTTCTTTCTGGTTTTCCATCTTGTTCTGCCCCACATTTAAAACTTTTAACTATAAATTAATAATATCAAAATATATAATAACAATTACATAATATAAAATTACTCATACATCATGAGTACTGGTTGGAATTCCCAATTAGTTGCTGCTAAACCAGTGTACTCAAATATAAAAAGTAAAAGGTCTAATTTATAGTGATTTACAGTGTTTGACAACTTTCATGGCTATATTTAGGCTAGCAGTGTGACAGAAGTAAACATAAAGTTGGAAAGATGTTTAAAATATTGTTTTGATAAATTGTTTTATGTCATTCAGGCTGAAATTTACAGTATAATCCTTTCAATTAGAGGTATTGATTCTTAATGCTCGAAATGAGAGCAAGGACCCTGAGGTTAGAAGAACCTTAAAAAATGATAATCTCTGTGCTCAACTCTTCTCTGCATTCTATTTAGCTTTTTGATCATATAATAGCAGAGCAAGAACATGATTGTTCTAAAGGCCAACCCAGTGAAAGTGTTGTTGAGCTGTAGGAATGGCCTCGCCTTCCTGTTTCTACTTCATTTCTTTCCCCTTATTTGACTTGCATTGGTGATTCTCTCTCCTGGGCATTGGGAGACAGAACCACTTAACACATTGATTCTGAGAAACCTACCCCACTCAAGATTGATTAAGGAGAAAACAACGTAAAGGGCCCATAGAACAGGAAGAGAGACATACAATCACTTAAATATTGATAAGTCAGAAATTCTAGCATTGCCAATAATAAACTGAAACCTGCGATGTCAAAACCCTTTTATTGAACATCAGGCTGAAGGCCAAGAGACCCTGTAACTTTCAAATGGTCCTCCTGCAGTATGACACTTTGAGTCATCCTCTGTGCTCAGGTATCTTTAAAAGCATCTTCTGTGGATGACAGATGCACCAAACTCCTTGAATTCTGCAGAGGTGACCCACATCTGCTTGAAAGTGCTTATAGAGGTCATTATGGATGCACCAATCCATGCAGAAAAACGTCTATCAGAAGAAGCTGTGATCTTGATCGGGGTCCCTTCAGAAGTCAGTTGATCCAGTTCTTTCATGAGCCTTTCCTCCAGTCCAGGAAAAAGAGAGGTGCCCCCAGACATTACAATCTCTCCAAGAAGCTTTTTCTGTATATCTGCGGAACATTTCATAATGCTGCTGGAGACCATTTTTGAGAGTCCTGGACTCTGGATGCCTAGCTGGTCGGGTGCAAAGAGAACTTCTGGTACCTGGTGTAGCTGGTGTCCAATGTGGATGATATTCCCATCTGGAAGTCTGTATTCTCGAAAGACTTCCTCGGGCTTCTTGCATAGCTCTTTCTCTGGCTCCAGTGCAATATAGCACAGCTTTTCTTTAATGTCGTTCACCAAGGCCTTGTTAAACATGCAAGGAAAAGGACATCCTCTAGCAAACAGTTGCTGGGTGAGGTGCTCTGTGATGTCCCTCCCTGCCACATAGAGCTTGGTGACTGCATGAGGCAGGGCGTAACCCTCAAAGATGGGGACAGCGCAGGTGACCCCATGTCCACTGTCCACCACCAGGCCCGTGATGTAGGCAGAGGCATAGAGAGTTACCACACCATGGTTGGACAGGTAGAAAGCAGGCACATTATAGTTCTCAAACATCATTTCAGCAAGCTTCTCTCGAGTCGCCCTTGGATTCAAGGAGGGCTCCGTCATGAGTACAGCTTGGTCACAGGGTTTTACTCCCAGGCGGCACTCAAAAAGCTGTTGCCAGAGATGCTCCATGTCATCCCATCCTGTTATCAGTCCACGTTCAATGGGGTAGTGCAAATATAATGTCTCATACTTGTACTGGGCTTCCTCCCCCACAAAGTACTTCTTCTTATCGCCTCTTTCAGAAGGAATGTTAACTTTAGGATAGCCTATGACAGAGCTGATGATATGACGAGGTCCGGTCTCTCCAGAATACCCTACTTTGCAGACTCCAGAACCATTGTCAAAAATTACCGCTGGAACATCTAAGACATGTGGATTAAACATGACTGCTATGTCCTGTCCTGAACCTCACCAACTAAAGGAAAGAACACTTAGGCCACTTTGTGACACAGGTACCTTTGGAGGTTTGAACACCACAGGATTCCAGAATTCTTAGGCTGTCACACAGGTGGAGCTAGCAGGTTGTCTCCAATGCACCAGGGCACCCCATCATCAACCTACTAATCTTTTCTCATTTCTGGCAGTCTAGGTCCTGCTGAGGCAACTTCAGGGATGATTGTCCTTTATGTCACAATTTAGCCAAGGCAACAATTGTCCTGAGTGGGTGTCAGAGGGGCTGGGTCTGTGAACCACCAGTGCTGCCTATCTGGTGAGACACAAAACCAGGGAAGGCAAACCATATGTAGGAACAGCTTTAGTGAGCCTGTGAACCCAGAGTAGAGGCCAGTTGTTAGAACAAAGTGAAGCTGCCAAAGTGTGGGCCTGTCCCAAAGACACTCTCTACCCTCTCTGCTCTGGTGAGCTTTGTTCTGCAGAATGGTGAAAACATCCTTCCCTTTCCTAAGGGGAGGAACTAAGCATCAGACATAGGGTCAGCTTGGAGTAAGGATATAATCAACTCAAGATCTTCTTTCTTTTATTGCCCCTAACATTTGTTTTTTTGTTTGTAATGGTTTTTATTAAGATACATTTTACATACCATACATTAACACACTTGAAGTGTTTATTTCCTTGATTTTAATGTAGTTACAGATATTTGCCAATATTACAAAAATAAATTTCAGTATAGTTACAGATATTTGCCAATATTTTAAAAATAAATAAAGATGACAAAAATCAAAATAAATACACCTCATAAAGAATCCCAGTGTTCCTTAGCTACCACTCCTCTCATTAGGTCATCCACCTGAGCCCTATCTAAGCCTTGCTAATATATTTTTTGCCTCTATACATTTACTTTCTCTTTATTTCTTCATATAAATGGAATCATATACTATGTGGCCTATTGTGTTTGGATTCAGTCATTGCACATTACCTTCAAACTTCATCTACTGTTTGGATATAACACGTTTTCTTTACATACTAGTCAGGGGGTCTTTTAATTATCTTTTATGATGAAGTCCACCTCTAGAAACAAAATGGACTTATCTTTTCATTTCTTTTGTGTGTACATATATATACATTTATAAATATATATATATATACACACACACACACACACACACTAGAATTGGGATTGCTGAGTAGAATATGACAACTGTAGGTTAAATTACTTGACTTCATTTCCTCTAAGTCTACTCTCCAAAGGGTTGTGACATTTTCTATTGTGAAACTGTATAGGAATATACTTACTTCTCTACATGATCCTCCGCGCTGTTATCCAACTTTTTTTTTTATGTACACAGATTTACATGATGTTTTGCCAGTTTTTAAAATATCTTTTCTCCTCCACTTTACATTTAATAATTTCTTGATTACTTGCTTCATTGCCCTAAACAATTGTGGTTAGTCAATTCTATATTTACATTTTTAAAGACATGAATCTAGGCATTACACTTATGTTTCAATGCACAGAACTGAGACCTAAATTTAGGTGAGATTTGTTACATAAACTTTTAGAGGTCATCAATTTTTTCCTATAAGTTTCTAATGGTTTCAGGGATGTCCAACCATTTTTTTTTCCTTCTCTGCTAAATATTGGAAGGGTAAGAGTTGTCATGGGCTACACATTAAATACACAAACACTAATGAAAGCTGATAATCAAAATAAGTGAATAAATAAGTACATACAAGGTCCATGCATACTTTTTAATGATATTTGACACCACAGGTAACCATAAGCAAAAAAAGGCTTCACAAAATCAGCATGCGACCCTGCAGCCCCCTGAAGGCCAAAGAGGTTGTTCTTACAACGAGAGTGTTTTTTATTAATATTTACCATTATTCTATTATTTTTTTAAGTTCAATACACAAATATCCATTGTATACCATTAATAATTAGAGAATTAAAATTAATATGACAATATGAAATACATAGCAATAATTCTTCAGAAATATATAGTATTTCTACATGGAAAATTTTTAGTTATTGAGAATATAAAAAGATACATATATATTGCAAAATTATTATTAATAATTTTTTAATTGTTTAGGTATTACTTCTGTTATAACTTGAGTTATTGTCTTTCTAGGGATATCAGTATACAACATAGCAAATTCAATTTGCTCTGGGGCTTCAGAAGGATTGTAGCAAATCTACACTGACCCACTGGGGGGCACACATATCTGATATTGGGTGTGATTATATATGCAAGTACCTTCAGGGTTTCCTGTATATTCATAGTAAGAGTAACCCAATAACACAGTTTTGACAGTTTGTCTAGTTTGAGTTACCTTTTGAATATATTTTTCACAACCTTCATCATGTCTTACACCTAAGATGAAAGAAGGAAGATGAAAAAGTCCCAAGCAAAGAATCAGTGATCAGTCCCATGCTGCAACTGCTCATGCTCAAGCTTCTGCTGTGCGTAGACCAGTCAGTTCCTGGTATGTGACTGGAGGAGGGTATAGTCTGTATTTTTTAGGGTAAGACGGTGGGGATGCTCTGAATGTCCTTGGACTATCCACTTCCCATTGTTGGCTGGTTTCACACATCAGTGATGTATCCAGAGAGGGATGCCATTCACATTCACTGTTGTTAGTGTGGACAGGATCACCAAGTAGGGACCTTTTCACCGTGGTTTCAGTGGTTCAGCCTCTAATCATTAATTTACACCTGGTTACCTGGAGAGTGGGGATGGACTGGGGGTGATAAACCAACAAGATATCTATCATTCACCCATCCTGAAATCTTTTTTTCATTATTTTTCCCAGTAACATTAGTTGGTTAGTAAGTTAGTAAATTTTGTTTCTTCCAGTTCTCTCAGGGTCCCTGGTACATTTCTTAAAATGGGAGGATTCCTGTGATATAGTATTTTATAGGGTGAGTAACCTACATTTTTTTTTTGAACCAGGTTACATGGATTACATTTGTTAGGTAAAGTCTCTCTTATAATTGTGTCCTGCTCTTAAAAGGTATATCACACATGGTGGCTCCCTAGCCCCCTCCCTCCTTCCCTCTCTCTACTCTCCCCTTCCCCCATCCCCACCATGTACTAGGTCATTAATTGTCCTCA